AGTCTGCTCCCACAAAGATCTGCCGTGTCCTCCAGTGGCTGAGTGGAACCGCCGTGATGACACTGATTGGGGATGTTCACAGAGCCCGGGAGCAGCTGAGGGGACCGGCTGGGTGAAGCAGGACCTGGCTGGTCCGTGGTCGTGAGTTGTGATCACGGCAGCACTGAGATGTGGCCGCCCCACACACTGCAGGGCGGGTGAAAGGCCTGTGTGGCCCTCAGTGCTCTTGTCACCTAACGCCGTCATCACGAGCACTCCGTTCTGAGCGGCCTTCGTCAGCCGGCACATGTTCCACGTGCTCCGTCAGACTCTCCTGCCTGCTTTCCTGAAGCTTGTCTCCAGGCCTCTGCTTGTGTTAGCCACGTCAAGTCTCCACTGGTCTTTGTCTTGGCCCCCCTGGTTCCCATAGTTGGCCCTCCAGTAGGTTTTCAGAGGCTTTCGATCACGCAGGGGGAGATTGCCCGTCCTCCTGCGGAGCACCTGGCAGATTTGACCACATGTTCTTGGGATTGCAGCACAGCTTCTTACCCCTAGGCCACCATAGGAAAACCCAAAAAGCTAACCAAAAGCTCCCGGGGAGTCAGTTCTGACTGCTAATGCCCCTGTAGGCCAGAGTGAGCCTGCCCCGTTGAGGCCCCAGGATGGAATCTTTATGGAAACGTTCTTAAGCTGTCTCACAGCTGAACTTCATCAGGTTTCCGGAGCTGTAAACCTCATGAGATGGTAGGAAGTGTCTCATCTCTCTCCCTCAGAGCAGCTGGTGGATTCGAACACCAAAACTGTGGACTGTGTCAGCGGACTGCCACATCCGTGTCCCCAGTAGTGGCTGGACTGAACAGCTGGGATATCAGTGAGCAGGGTGCTTTAACCACTGAAGCATCAGAGCTCTTCATGAAGAAAAACGTCAGAACTCCAGCGTGTAGCCACCCACAGCCCCCTAACCTGCCCCCTGACGCCACACAGCAGGACTCCAGCGTGTAGCCACCCACAACCCCCTAACCTGCCCCCTGACACCACACAGCAAGAACTGGGACCCCACAGATTCTGGCTGGATTTAACTTCTGGGTTCTCTTTACACTCTGACACTCTGGTATGATTCTCTCTTGCCTCTCAAGAAATCAGCGTTAATTTAGGCAAATAAGAGAGAAGAAAACACTTTGGACTCTATAGAAGGTGTTCACGGTCCCTCCTTCCTCATCCAGCCTGCGCCTGATTGCATCGGTTCCTCCCGCTGCTATGAGCCCACCCTTGTCCTCACCCCTCAGCGGGTACTTAACTCATCAGGAGTTTGAGGACCAGGCTTTCTGTTGTTTGCAGAGGGAAAACCTCAGGTTTCTTGTTTCTCCTAGGGTTTTTGCCTAACCATTTTTTAAAAACCCGGTGCCTACTCACAGGGAGTGGACTCCGACTCGGAGCCACCCCGAAGGGCAGCACCGACCTGCCCCACCATGTTCCTGGGGACGTAGATCCTTATGGAAGCAGATTACTTCATCCCTTCCATGCAGAGAAGCTGTGTGATCGAACTGCTGACCTGTTGGACAGCAGCACAGTGCTTGATCCCCTGTGTCCTCAGGGATCCTTGAGATGTCAGATATCAAACCCAGCACCAGGAAATCATTTCCACTTCATCCTAATCTGTGTTGTGCGGCCCCTTAGGGTCATAATCTGTGTCACACAGCCCCTTAGGGTCTCCAGGGCTATAAATCTTTACAGGAGCAATGCCCTCAGCTTTCTCCTCTGAGGTGGCTGGTGGATTTGAACCAGCTTTCGGTCAGTGGTCAAATTCTTTAACCGCTGTAACACCAGGTGCCTGACTCTTTTAAAGGTGATGATAAAGGCAAATCTGGACTCCAAGAGGCAGAAACTCTTCTAGAATTGTGTTGCAGTAGAGGCTGCTCCGATTTCCGACATCTGCAAACATCTCAGAATTAAATAGGAAAAGGCTTTTCTAGTGTCAGAGGAAGGGGCTCTGGTGGCCTACTGTTAAGGAGCTGCACTGCAATTCTCAAGGCACGGGGTTCGAATCTACCAGGTGCTCCACAGAACAATGAGCAATCTCCTCCTGCATTGTTTTCTCCCCTGAAAACCTGGAGGGTCAGGTACAGGTCAGTCTGACTCAACAGCCCACAGCAACAGCCTCCGTGAGGCAGGCAGCTGAGGGACACTGGAGAGGTGAAGGGAGAGGTCTGCAGACAAGAAGGTCCTCAGAGAGCAGGCCGGTTCTACCCTGTGGTGGCCCTGTTCCCACCCGAGGCAGGCTAGGGGAAGGTGGCTTCGATTAGAGGCAAAGGTAAGAGACGGACTGACCTGAGCACTTCTGTCAAAGGCCTGCATTTCTCAGCACAGGTGTGAACACTGGGTGGGTGTGGATTTGTGCATATTGCTTCTGCAGCCTGGGAGTGTCCAATCTGTCATTGCCTGAGACAGAGGTCCTTAACAGCCCAGCAGAGGACATGAGGGTGAGGGGGAAAGCAGCATATTGTCCTGTCCCCTTCACCTGCTTCTTTGTCAGTGGCAGTGAGCTTCAGCCCAGCGCCACATTCTCACCCTGAGCTGCTGAAGTTACCAGATGACCCAGGAAGGTCACTTCCCTGGGAGGGGGCAGGTGATGCCCTTTCCTGAGGAGTAGGCATGGACTAAGGGTGAAGTCAGAACGTGTTGTCTGCAAACCAGGGATCCTCACACCACTTCCCTTTGCAAGGCTGACTCCCAACTCCAAGCACCGGAGAATGATAGACTGACAGACAGAAGAGTGGTAGCGTCGTGGATAGACAGATAAGCGGTATCATCTTTGATAGACTGACAGTTCCGTGGTAGCATCATTTGCTGGTGGCGTCAGCATCAGCTGTTTCTCTCAATTGCCACCCGTCAGACCTGTATGAAGTCATCAATATTTAGATTTTCTTTCACCAAGAGATTACCGTTTTGCTAGCATGAAGACAAATTGATCTCATTTACGTCCCCTCAAAACTATCAAATCCTCCCTTCATGGTGTTTCCTAATTGGACTATTCCCCTTTTCTCTCCCTAAAGTCTTTGTAGCCCTGGCTGGTGGGAGGTTGATTGTGAGTGTAGGATTTGCTCATGAAAGCACAGCCCAGAGCCGGGTGGAGTTCTCTGAGCCCATCTGTACCCGGTCCCCACCCACCAGGGGTGCGAGCTGCTGGGGCCTTTTGTTTGAGTGCTGGGGAACAGAGCTTTCTAAAGCCAGGACGTCTCTGATCTTCCAGTGACACCTCAGTGACCCCAGGCCCTGTATTGTTGGAATTCCATCTGAAATGGATGATGAAAAAACGTGAGCCCAGAGGAGAACTTGTTTGAGGTTTTGTTATGCTAAGCTTAAAAATCTTAGGAATCCTGCCAAGCTGTAAACTGTACCGGTTTGAAGCTCTTGCTTATTTACTGGGGCATTGCTGATGCTGGTGCCTGCCTCTCTCCACAGCCCCGTGTGACTGAGATTTGCTCCGAGTGACTTTATTTTGTGGCCTTGGTCCACCTTGCTGGGTTCAATGTCATAATGGCTCTTATTAGTTTCTGTTTGGAGAATCCAAGGTATACTGTGGTATGCTCCGTGGTTTCTTTAAATGATCAGCCCACTGCTGTCCAGTTCCTAGGCACGCTGGTGGATTGAGCAAAAATGCTTTGTAGGGTCCTCAAGGCTATGATCAGTTAGGATGGGACAGCAGACAGCCTCTGCCTTGCTCTTAGGGGGCAGCTAGTGGGTTCAAACCACCAACCTTTGGGTTAACAGCTCAGTGCTTGAAATAACAGGGACTTGCAGAGAAGTCGCTTTCCAGAGGTTCATTTGCAAATCATTTCAGACTTTGTAGTATGTTCCTGGAGGAACAGTGTTTGATGGTGATTGGATCCCATGCTGGATCCTAGCTGTTATGTTAGTGAAATTTGCTGTCATTCGAACCAATAGCAAGCAACACTGTGACAGTATTGTTAAGTGAGTTGGATGGAAACTCAGCTACAGAGCATGAAAAAAAGTGTGTGTCATTTTTTCTTAGGTTGTGGTTCTGGAGGTAAAGCAGGATGAGGAGGGGAGTGGGGGCCCTGGCTTTCCTAGTGTCAGACCATGTTCTGGGGCCTACCAATCACTACCTGACCCACTGGTCCAGGTGAATTAACGACATTCATCTCATACATCTCAGTCATAATTGGGATCGCGCCCATGTGTAAGTGGGCAAGAAGTGGGGAGAGAAGACTTTCTTTATTTTAAGAGAGCAGGGGTTGAAAGATAGGACAAAAGAGAAAGACAACTGGAGACCCTTGATGTCACCGTTGAAGTTGAAAGTAACTGAGCCAGGCAGATGTAAAGCACCCTCTCCCCAGGAAGGGGAAAGAAAAATGCCGGTAAATATGTCAGACCCAGCAGGGCTTTTTCAACCCGGCAAAGCTTGAGATAGGCGGAAGGTTAGCAGAAAATCAGTAAACTCACCAGTCATCTAAGAAAGAAAGGGGAGCTGGTTTCAAGAAGTTTGAACTATATTCCACGGGATTTCTTTCTGTTAAATATGGTCTAACAAAACTAAACTTTGTGGCTATAATAATTGTAAGACTCAAACTCTGAAATGAAAAGAACTGTAAAGTAAAAATGTTTCTATTTGCAAATTGAGTTAAAGTTGTTACTTTTGAGAAAAGAAAAAAGTAGCTTTTTTTGCCCCCCCTTAGCAACTTTACACAGATGTCCTCTGTTTACAACATAATTACAGAAAACATACAGCCAGTTGTAAGGTTTCCTGTTATTTATTGAACTGATGGCCATGTTTTCATATCTTGAATTATCACAATCTGAGTTCTACACACAGAGACAGAAGTCTGTTGGATATGGGTTGTACGTAAAAGAGACGAGAAAGAATTCTCAAACTGAAAATGAACAATTTCCTTTTTTAGGATGGCAAAGATAAGAGGAAGGTTTTTGAAACGTGCATCTCTTTTTATTATTATTTCTGTTGATTTCACTGCCCTTCACCTTTTCCTCCTCTTTCTTCACAGGGCATGCTGCTGAAGCGAAGTGGCAAATCCCTGAACAAAGAGTGGAAGAAGAAATACGTCACCCTGTGTGACAATGGTGTGCTGACCTACCACCCGAGTCTCCATGTGAGTGTGCCCCCCACCTGCCCCTGGAGCAATTAGGCAGAGACCCTGGGGGTGGGGGCAGGGGTTCCTAGGGGCTGTCCCTCCCCTGTCCCTGTTTGAAGTTCTGTTTGGTCTCCCACTCGGTCATGAGATAGATAATCATACCCCTCAGTCTTCATCAGCTGTATGTCTCTATCTCCCCGCCCCACCCTCACCCCAGAGGTCCGGCAGTAACTCTCAGAGTCCACAAAGAATCCCACTCAAAGGCTCATGAAGGACAGTTTACAATGAGCCTGAAAAGACAGGAGAGCGCGGTAAGCGGGAAGCGAGAACAGGATGCATCCATCTGAAAAATCTAAACTTAAAGACACAAACATCTGCTTACACCAGGATGCAGCCCTGAGCTGCCCAGAACAAGCCCAGCCAATCCAGTGCAGCTCAGGCCTCAGTCATGTGCTCAAATGCTGGCACCACTTCCCTCCTTTGACAACACGTGTTATATCAGCAGCGTATGTGAGACAGAGTCAAAGGTAGAATTCATTTTGTCCTGGGGAGGGAGGCAGACATGCCACTCACTGTCAGTTCTTTCTGTCAACCTCCGTAAAAGTCTGAAGATAAGGTTCTTCTTAGGTCTGTAACCCATTCCTCGTGTCTCGGTCTAAAGAGGTGTCAGTGGTGGTGACATGTGCCATGGAATCGAAGCTGATCCTTAGCTGACCTTGCAGTGGGTTTTCCAAGTCCGTGAACGGCACAGGAGACTGCCCGTTGTAGTGCACCTTCTTGCCGCTAGGCCTCCCCTCGTGTGTTCGGCTGCTGTTCAGAAAGGTCGAGAGTTTGCCTCCACCAGGGACTGGAGTTACACCTCTCTGGTTGGGATGTGCCCCGATTCTGCCCAGAATCACTGAGCAGTACTTGGAGAGAATGTAAAGGGGATCCTTCGAGGCAGTCAAGAAGCTGGTCGCTGACCTGCCCAGTGCTGCAGGCGGGTGAGCCCAGGGCCATGGCAGCAGGAGGAGCCGCCAGTGTCTGGTTTTCCAGCACATGTAAACTCTGTGTCTGCACTACACTGCGGTCTATCAGGAGTGTGGTGACATCATGAGAGGGTGTGAATTACCGAGAGAATTAGCACAATGTGACCGAGATGCAAAGTGAACACACTCGGTGTTGATAAATTACGCTAACGGGCTTGTGGGGGCGCAATGGCCACACCCCTTCAGTTTGTTAAGATACAGAAAAAAGGTAAAAATGCAGTCTGTGTGGGGTGGAGTAAAACAAACTCAGTGCGATGCAGCGTGCCTGGACATGGACACTCCTCATCCAGCCTCGTGGAGACAGTCTTGCGACCTCACAGGGGCTCTTCCTGGGGAAGCCCCTCAGTGTCTGCCAAGCCCACTCCCTGTGTGCTCCTGGGGTTCAAGGGTATGTTGTGTCACTGCAGGCCAAAGCCCTGTCCCCCTATCACGGAGGTGAAGCAGGTCTCCTGGACTTGACTGAGCAGTGTGGATTGGTAATCCCTGGGGGAAGTGAGTTTCACTTGGGGAGGCCTGGAGGTGTGGGTGGATGAAAGTTTGGTGGGATCTACCGTGAGTCGAGTATATTTACCGGCATGTACCAGAAGCGGACCAACTCGGTTGAGTTGCTTTGACAGCATCTTCTCCATAAGCGCTGAAAAGCTTTAGCACTCTTTAGTTGTGTGTTGAGAAGAATTTCCAAGGGTGGAGCCCGCTTTCCTTAATAAAAAATGTTCCATCATTTCTTAGTGAACTGGGCCCTGGCCATCTTCTTCTGAAGTCCTCTGACCCTGCCCAGGTCCAGAGCATCATTTCCTAGGTACATCTTTTTGTGTTGTTTCTTCGTCTCGAAGCTTAGTTCCTGGATCGATTATTCAGGAGGCCACAACCCTGAGCTTGCTTCGACCTGCCACGTCACCTCGGTTTGGTTTTTTATTTGTCCCAGCCTTTGGCTTTCCTGACACCCTTCTCTTTCTCACAGAATAGACGTAGAGGGGAGACTGTACACAGAACTGGGCGTGCTCCCCACTGCTGCGCTGTGAGCAGTGCCTCTGTGTCGCCAGGCGCTGTCAAGTCGTTTCAGCACATGCAACAGAACAAACCACTGCCTGGTCGCCCAGCGTCCTCACGGCTATGGCTGGGTCGAAGACCCACGATGCTCCCGTGTCAGCCCACCTCCTTGGGGTCTCCCTCTATACGATGTCCCTCTGCAGGGATTGGGCCTTCCTGAAAACATGTCCAAGGTGTGTGGGATGAAGGCTTATCATCCGTGCATCTGGGGCACCCTTCCTGGCACTTCTTCCCACACCAGTCAGCTTGCCCTCTGGCAGTCACGATACATTCAATACTTGTACCAGCGCCATAATTCTGAGCTGTCAGTCTCCTGTAGTCATTGTCCCTCTTTCTCGTGCTTATGTAGCCACTGGCAATACCATCGCTTGGGTGAGGTGCACCTTAGTCGTTAGTGGTTATGAATTGCATGGCTACGTGAAAAGTGAGAGGTTTGAATCCTGCAGCTCTGTGGCAGAACGATGGGCAGCGTCCTCCCATAGAGACCCACAGCCTGGGAAGCTCAGTGAAGGTCACAGTCTGCTCAGTGAAGGTCACAGTGTGCTCAGTGAAGGTCACACTGCTCAGTGAAGGTCACGGTCTGCTCAGTGAAGGTCACACTGTGCTCAGTGAAGGTCACTGTCTGCTCAGTGAAGGTCACGGTGTGCTCAGTGAAGGTCACGGTGTGCTCAGTGAAGGTCACGGTCTGCTCAGTGAAGATCACAGTCTACTCAGTGAAGGTCACTGCTCAGTGAAGGTCACAGTGTGCTCAGTGAAGGTCACAGTGTGCTCAGTGAAGGTCACAGTGTGCTCAGTGAAGGTCACTGTCTGCTCAGTGAAGGTCACTGTCTGCTCAGTGAAGGTCACGGTGTGCTCAGTGAAGGTCACTGCTCAGTGAAGGTC